CTAATACGCATTTTCATGGAGAAAAGTAAGTTGACTGTTGCTGTTTTTGTAGGATTAAAAAGAGAAAATATAGAGGAAACCCTCCCACTCTGGAATTAAGCTGTGGATTTTGATGCAACTCCAAATATTTCAGGGAAAATTTGTGTATTGTACGATGGAGTATTATGGCCACACTGAGAAAATTAAAAAAATTAATTACATTAATAGTCATAATATTACAAGTATAAAGTCATGACAGTAGAACTTTATACTGGTAATATTATGACTTTATTCTCACATTTTGTATGACTTTGTTCTTGTGTTATTTCAACTTTATCTTTGTAATATTATTACTTTAATATATCAATAGACTTTATTCTTATAATATTATGACTGCATTCTCATCATTTTATGACTTTCTTCTCAAAATGTTATTTTTCTTAGCGTGGCCCTAATACTCCGTCGTACATTTGTTGATTATCTTTTAGAGTATATCTAAAATACTCAAAAGAAAAAAGAAAATGCAGATTGGGAAGCTGAAATACATGCTCAGCCCTACATGACAAGTTGGCGTTTGCAGAGCAGCCAATCCAAGAGCAGAATTCATTTTCCTTGGTCCTTATTGGCTGGACCCCCAAGAATGGAAATAAAGAAGACCGTATGTGTTAGTTTTTGCAGTAGTGCTAAAACAATTTCCACTTTATTGAGGTATATGGCAGCTTTCAACATCTTTCAGAGTTGGTCTCAAATATTTGCAGATTTTAGCAAATTTGCCCAATGCTGGGGCTCCATTGTGTCTCAAAAACCTTAATGAGTCAATACAATGTGGGCCAAAACTCCTCAAAATTTATAAGAGATTACAAAAACCTCACCAAAAGATGTGTTTAAAGGTTTCATCCTACAACCCTCAGAATTATGGGATATCCTTAGTTTTTCTAACGTCTGTTTATCTTCTAACCTATAAAGTTAACTTGAAGTGCTGTGGTGTGCTCCGTCCAGATTAACGTGAACAATTAGAAGGACCCAGCTTGTTTGAGCACTCTGCTGGGTTCGCAGGCAGTAAACAGACATATTGCTCGTCTTGGGCTTTTAATTGTGTTTAAATGCCAGGACGAGTGATGGTACTATTGGGACACCATTACAGGGCTTGCTGGATTAAATGAACTTACTCCTAACTAGGCAGCTGGAAGGCACTTGGTGACTGGCAGAACTGATGGGAATACAGTTTTGGTATCATCAAGCAAACCTCTCAATGCAACCGGAGCTCTGCTTGATCGATGCCTGCTGAGGGCTTTGGTCTGTCAGCCACTGACTTGTTGGGTTGACGATGTGGAAAACGGTTAACTGCTGTCCTGAGATATGCCGTTTTCTGCGGCTGATGTCGGCGTGCGAGTAGCTCCTGATAATAATAAGGCTCATTAGATGATTGTCATTTAATTATAGCACTTAGTACATCAGACCATATCAGTGCTCTGGAGCGTGTGAAGCTAATTTACACAAAGGTCTGTTAGTTTACATGTCTGAGACGTTTCAGTCTTGGGCTGAAATTATGATAATATCATGTAAATCATGATATTATCAACAGGAAATCCTGTTCTTCATGCATGTGTGTGTTTATTGGTAATATAACCGTGCTTTGTCGCTTCCTTCGGTCTCAATGTCATTAAAGGCAGCAAAGTCTTTGGTTTGTTCCAACGTTTGTTCTTTGTTGTCGTCCATGCCTGTGGTTTACTTGATGGATGCCGCTGTTGTGTCTCATATCCCTCAGCTGGTCAAACTGTTTAGTCTGAAATCGAATGTGTCAACAAAAAAAAGATGAAATATCATGACAGCATTCATGTTTTTCCTTTTATTTTAGCTTCAGATTTCTTTTTGGAGCATCAAGCAGCTCAAAGACCTCAGGCGTTTCCTGAATAAACTGGGATAACAAGTGGTCGTTTCGATGTGAATATCTATGAGTCAAATTATTGGGAGTAGTGATCTTTCTGCAGTGTTCAAGGCCTGCTTTTCTCTTCCATTAATTTGAATATGGCCTGTCTCCCATCAGCAGTCAGTTGAAAAGGGAGAGGATGCTGAAATATTTAGCTCGAGTACTTGTACATTAGCCTTAGTTAAGGACATCTGAGAGAATGTTCTACATTTACAAGTCTCCCCAGTTTTTAAACCAGAACATTTATAAGATAGTAAATGGGTGGAGAGGAAAAAAGATGAATCCACAGCGACGAAATCAACATGGCCGTCTAAATTTTGTTAAATCTGCCCTTTGGTTTGTTCATCCACAGCTGCTGTCAGACCTTGAGAATGTGTTTTTATTTAACGACACAAGGCTTCAAACAAAAATCACTTCAGCACTTTTTTCTTACTGACTCACATGAATCAAATATTTTAAAAAAAGCAGGATTTATTCTCTGCTCCACCTTGAGCAGAAACAGGCATTGAAACATGAAAACATGATGTAACCTTAAGGCACTTGCGTCTAATTAAAATCCCACTCTGAGGCTCGGTTACAAAACAAGGTTCTGCTCAGAAGTTTGTCCTCAGAAGCTCTATCAAACCAGAATGAAACGAGAGATTTCCATTTTCTGCTTTTAATGATGAGTCGGTAGCGCCTCAGGACAAACAGGATCCTGTTAATGAGAAAAGAACAATGGGATGTCTTTGTAAACTACATAATGCGATGGGAAAACAGGATTCCCCACCATTTGTTTTACTTTTAACGATGCACTTGATTAATTGGCTATTTAGTCGTAATGCAGTTGTAGCAGCACATTTTATTGCAGAGCTCCAGGGAAAAGGAGATTAAAAGTTTTACAAACTAAAGGAATCATCAAACCACTTTGTTTCAAATTAAGGTGAATCTCAACAAAATGTGATTTCATTTTATATGGATATTGCACACAAACTCATCTAGTTCAATTTGATGATTATGGTTTCAAAATCCCAAAACTTGTTTCTCACATAATCATCATAAAATATAAGAAATGTGAAAAATAGAGTGTTTAATGCAGAATTATGTTAAGATTATACACAAATCCTCACTGGTGAGGGTAAACCACAAAGCTGACAGTCCAGCATGCTATATCAAGGCATATTAATATAAAGTTGAGTGGAAAGAAAAAATACTCCTCCCACAACAAATTAGGGTAAATATTATATGATCCGTGACTACGCTTTTCACCAGGCCACTATTCTGTTTTGTTTTATTCATTTTTGTTGTTGTTGTTGTTGTTGTTGTTCTGATCTTGTAATGTTGTAGTTTTAGGAGTAACTGATTTGGATTTTTGGATCTTCATCAGCTGAAAGCCATAATAAGAACTTATGGTGGAAAGTTGAGTGGAAGGAAAACGTATATTCGTAACAGTGATGGCTGTAGCTCTGAGAAAACTGTGGAGCAAAGAGCCTTCAAGCTGTCGAGCTTTATAGTGTCACCGATTTCCTTTTCCAGCAGAAATTGGCTTTTGCTCACAGTCGGCACACGGTGTCCATATCTGGTGTAATGAGCATGACGTCTCTGTGCCTGATTAGTTAAGTGATTTTTCATACAGTGGTTTATGGAAACAGAGCCAAACCAAGCGTTGAGGTCATGTACTATAAAGTACATTGACACGTTTTCATCTCATTTGCTTTTTTAGTCCTCTCACTATATGTGTGGACTACCAGCTTTTGAGCAGTGACCAGTTTTGCCATGACTGTACGTTTTTGTGTTGAAAAATGTTTTTATTGGTTCTTAGTAACATTCCTATACGCTGAGCTTTGGGTTTTCATTTGTTGTGACCCACAGTTGCCAAGAATAAAGTTCTGAAATTACTAAAACAAGTCAGTTTTTGTCAGAAATTGTCTAAAATATGAGACGCGCCTGCATGTGTGCCTGGAATGTGCTAGAGAGCCGTCACCTACGTGACTTAACTCCTTAGTGCAGCATCTGCTCCTTAAATTATTCACTGGTTTGAGATCATTAGGTCTGTTTCTAGGTCCAGTTTCCACAGCAGCAAAAATAAACCATCCTCACAGCTGCCTAAGACTGTTTTACTGGATGTTCATTACTCGAAACTGTAAATAAGTTAGAAGCATAATGTTATGTATCTATATGACAGACAACGAGTTATTAAAACACACATTACACCCCTGATTTCTGATTAAGCCATTAAAAGCTTTCTACTGGCAGAGAGTATTCAGACAAAAAGGGCGACTTATAATGTCATTGTAAGTAAAGGATAAAGAGTGTGTTTTAAACCATGACATGTAAAGTACTTATATCTAAAAGTGGGTCAGTAGTGTTTCCACTCTGACGCATATCTTCTGCTGCTTAACCTCAGAGGGCAAGGATAAGCACAGAACATGTGGCCCAACCCGACCAATCACCGACTACTAGAACGTACTGTTAGCCAATGGGGTGCAGAGACGGATTACCCTTTGACTTCCCGAAGGAAAAACTGGGTTTGGTCCTTAACAGTGAGGGATTTTGATGTGGGGACAGTCTATAGTAACATGATAGAGAGAGTACAGAAATGGGAAACGGAAAGGAAACGGTTTCAGTTCAATTTTATGGTTTTCCACATCAGGTTGTAATAAAAAAAAGAAGCTGATTCTCACAGTGTTCTTGCATTATTTTTACATCCCCCAATGTAAAGAAGAACACAATGCAGATTAAAAAAATAGAATAACCGTGTGTGAAATGTAGCAGCCTGATACAGATGATCAAATAAGCATCAGCAATCGTGACCGCTGATTCGGAGAATCCACTGAGAGAAAGACATCCACAATGACCTTAAAGAAGCAATTGTTACAGCCCATAAATCTGGGAAGGGTTATAAAGCCAAACATCGTGAAGTGAGGTTACAGGCCCCATCACTTCAGTCACAAGCGGAATAAACTTGAAGACGTTCACAGTATTCCTAGAAGTGAACATCCCAGGCAATTCACCGGAAAGTCACAGCTGCGCCTAGAAAATTAGATCTCCATCCCCGACTCTAACGGCCCAGTTAGCACGTTAAAGTTAATGACAGGTTTGCCGAGAGGACGCTCTCCTCTCTCAGAAGAAGATGAATCTGAATGAACCACAAGAGCAGAACAAAAAATGGTGTTTCTAAATCACAAATCTTCCTCAGCCATATTGGAACAACAAGTTCACACCAGTTGCCACAGTTGGTGGTGGAGGCAGAATGATGTGGGCTTGTTTTACAGCCACAGGTCCTGGACATGCGAGTCCACAACTTCTCTGTATACCAAAGTATTCTAGACACCAATGTTAAGCACAAACATGAACAAAAATAGAAGTAAATCAACAGCAGAATGTGTGAAAAGGGAAAAGAATCAAGATCTTGCACTTGGCTAATTAAAGTCCACACTTCATCTGGCCTTGGTAGGAGAGCTGTCCAAATAAATACCCGTCTAGTTTCTTTGTGCCTCTTGTTATTTTGCTTTAAACCTCAGTGTTGAACTAAGAATCTGTCTGTAATAGAAAAAAAAAGTGATAGTGAAACTGTGAACAGAAGGTTTGAGGAGGAGGGGGATTTTCTTCCAAGTTGAACATAAGATTCCTTCATGCTGCACACTTTCTGTGGGAAAAGTGAAAACTGCAAGGGGGGATCCCACTACTTCCTCGTACTCCTTCGCTGTAGTTTGCTGGCCGGTTGGCGTTTTGCATTTCTACACGATCTTCTTCCTGGGTGGAGCGCTCGTGTGAAAGATCCGACTGTTAATTTGCTCCATATTAAAGCCATCTGCTGGCGTGCGCTTCCTCCTCGGGACATCCCTCTAACGTGTCTCTCGCTCGCCGGGCGTTGTAGCTACAATTACCTTAGACTGACACATGAAGAGGCGAGGACAAGGTCTAACAGATCAGAGAGTGGGAGATGAGGGGGGTGCTTATGTCTGCTCAGCCATGCATGTGGAGAACTCCACACACATGAAAATCCATTTACATGTGCCATCTGGAAAACCTGACCCACGTTAACAAGTTCAGTCAGCCTTCATTATCCCTTTCTAAAATCTCTTTGACTTGCTCCAAATGTCCTTTAATATAGATGAATAAAGATTGTGCTGAGTTATGCGTTCAGGCTACACTTTGGGTGCGTTACCAGACTTTGATGGATAGTTACCAGGCTTATGGCGGCGATGGTGATTGGTTGTTTCTGGTGGGAAGCAGAAAAGCTGATCATGTCGTTGTTGAACAGGGAATTGATCAGGAGGCCCGTATAGGCGGATCCGGCTGCAGGTTTAATGAATAATTTACATGTGGATGATGAGTCAGCACTCGTCGCCGCGTTTGGCCTTTTGGAAATAACTGCGCCGTAACATCTAGTGGGGGGAGCTTTTGTTTGACGGATGAACTGAGAACGGACCACGGAAAGTAGGGGGGAGGTTTGCTGATTTCCATACTGCGTGCGAGAGTTTTAACGGCAGGTGTGTTTTCCTGCTTTCATAGAAACTTCTGCATTGTTTATTTTCCAAACGTCAGGAGATGAAGCGAAAAAGTTTCTAACACAAAGCAGCTTTATGTGCTAAAAATAATCGGTTTACGCCACGACAAGTTCGCGAGAGCCTGTCCTGTTTCAAATGCTCACAGCAGAAAATTAATATCATCCCACCAAAGAGCAACGTCACTATTATGTGTCATGAAATAAATAAATATTTTTCATAGAGCCGTAAAAACATTTAGATTTTTTTTTCCAATTGCGGATGCAGTTCCTTGCAAAAGTATTAATACCATCTGAACCTTTTCACATTGTTTTTAGGTGACAAGAAAAGTAAAAAAATCTCCCAGCATTCCAAGGCGACAACCTCTGATTTCTTTTAAATACATTTTCCAAAAAGAAAAAAAAAAGATGTTTAGGAACATGGATCCTACTTTACTCAACCGCCAACAAGAGAAAGAGAGAGACATCCTGTTCAGATCCTACAGCTTTGAAAGCATCACTGCTAAGTAAAAGGAGAGACCAAATTCACACGTCTTTGACGAAATTAAAACGTGAACAACTTTAGTTCAGAAACGACTCATAGTCTGAACCCTTTGTGTTGGTCTGTCATTAACAAAATGTCAATAAACTACATGATAGTGTGTGATTCTACAATCACTTTTCCACGCAGAGGGGAATGTCGGCAGGAAGTGACTCCTCTTTTGTGCTCTGTGAATGATATAGTTTTGCACAGCCTGTTCCCGTCCAGCAGCAGAGTGATCTGATTTAATGCTGAGGGGGCTGTTAGCCCCTCCTCGTCAGCTCTGGCCTCCATGCTACAAGCCGGAGCCTCTAATGGATATGTAGGGAAATCAGGGTAATGTAATGCAGAGATGAACAGCGGCGGGGGAGGAGGGTGAAGGGGAGGTGAAGGGCCATTTCCCGTTTTTGTGAGAGTGCAGAGGTTGACGTGCCGGACCGCAGGCCTGGAATCTGGGCGGAAACTTCTGACCCCACAGAAAGCGGAAGCAGTGATGTAATTGTTACAGCAAGATGAGATAAAAGCTGCTGCTGAACATGAACTTGATGTTTCATTTGGTTAATTACAGCTGGTGACACAAAATAGTTACAGATATAAGTTTTAAAGTGGTAAATTAAAGTAGCTGTAGAGCAGGTGCCTCGTATATGAACTGCAAACATCAGTGTGATTAAGTTGCATAAATGATTTTACATGATTTGAACTCAGATTCACAATATAAACGTTTCTTCCCGCCCTCATTTTGCACCACCAGCTAAAATGAAGATACCTGCTAGGTCAAAGATGCGATTTAAAGTTACTCAGTAATATGCAAATAAATACATTTGCAGCAATCGAATTAGTTGCACCTCCGCCGTACTCTGCCATCAGTTGGTTTATGAGAATTTATCATTTTTAAAATGACTCACCTCCATAATAAATGCTAGTTTGAAAGGATTTGAACTGGTGAAGGGTTGGATTGATCTGAATTGTTCATGGTTGGTGTTGTTTGTTGTTCTGTTTCACTTATCTAATGTTTCCTGCAGACATAATCACACCAGCCTGGTAACATTAACTTTATCTGCTACATTGTTTGATTTTCTGATTGGACTTTGGCTTATAAACCCATAAAGAATAATAGGTGCCTTGTTTCAAGGTAATTTTTTTTAAATGCTTGAACAGATGTACTTTGATTTCAGCAATAATAAAATCCAATAAAAAGAATAATACTAATAAGCTCCAGCTGTGATTATCCTGTGGATTAATATTTATCTCCATCTTGTCAGCTAATATTAAGGGAGAAGACTTCCCCCCTTGTGCCATATTTGTTCTTTGACCTCATATTTCAGTTTTATAGTATTTGCTTGCTCCAGGAGTGCTCACATCTGTTTTATGAGAGTTGATTGTTGCGGCAGTACAGTTTAGGGTTTTTTTTTTTTTTTTCTTTTGCCCCTCCTTTTCCAGAGTGTTGCATAAGATTATTGGTTAGCTGCTGCATGTTTCAGCGCTGCAGGCGGACCTTTCTAATGCTCCCGCTGCCTGGGCGCGGAGGAAGTCGGGAAGGAGCGCTGTTTATTTATAGGACAGGGAGGTCTTTCCCTTCTCTGCGCAACTCTCAGTCAACCACAAAGCCAGCAGAAGCGTCCAGAATGATTTCATGTCTGCGCCTGTGACTCATTTTTTACAGATTTATATAGCAGAGTTTTGCCTGTAAAAAAGCTTGCCTGGCGTTCTTGCTGTGGGAAATCCCTGACGTTGTTAGCACCGCAAGGAATGCTATTTGTGTTTTCTGATTCTGTTACCAGCTGCTTCCACTGGATTTAGGTGGTTATTCTGTGTATAATATTGACCTCAGTCCTATTGTTTTAACTTTTGATGCTTTTTATACTTAAGAGAATCTCTGTTATTGAGATTTATTTTGCTTGATTTTGAAGTCAAGAAGTTCACGGCTCTACTTGTGTGCATTCGACCTTTAAATATGAAAGTTCCTGAACTGTTTTCTTGCTTAAAGGGAATTAGCGTAACACAGTAAACCCCTCACCTGTTGATGCACACTGCTGGTCAGTTGGCTGAAATAAAACTTCTAAGACAAATTCAGCAGTTTTTTTTAACCCCCTTGCATCACATAGGAATGTTTCCAAATTGTATATATAAAAGTATGCACAGATTATGATGTAATGAAATGAAACCAATGTAAATCATTTTCAAAAAAATTTAAACACTAACAGATTAATTGTTTTGTACCACAAAAACTCTCCTAATATCCTGTAAACTGTCTTAATATCCTTTTGCAGTTGTGTTTCACATATTTGTGTGTAAATATATGAACATTGCTCAAGGTTGTCCCACTGTGAGAATCTCATACTGTCCCATTAATATTTAAATGAATGATGTTAGTCTCATATGCAGCAACATTTTCTGTGACTTTACTGTCTTTAACCATTACTGCAGGTCTTTGTCCTCTGGTCCTCTGAACTAAATCAGGTGGAAACAGTTTGACCCACATTGCCCTGCATGAAAATTTACTGAGCCCTAGTGCTTTGCTTTACTGCCCCACTTAATTGCATATACACACACATACACTGTTTAATGCACATGCACTGACGCACTGGTCCAGATGCTCTGTTTGCTGTAACTGCTGGAGGGCTGTAACTGATGTTATTTACATTGCAGTTATCATAAGAAAATGGCACTGATAGAAGGATGGATTATTGCAGATTTTACAGGGATTAATCAAAAAGCCACAGAGCGAGTTGAAAGCTAAGGAACGTCTCTCTCCTTTTTTTTTTTTTTTTCCAATGCTTTGCTTTTGTGTGTTCTTCCTGGGCGGGGCCTCTGCAGCTGAGTCACGCCTCGGCTCTCTGGCCCTCCTCCAGCAGATTAAGAAGCTCCTTTATCACAAATCTCCACTGCTCCTCTGAGACCCCGTCATCCTTATATCTGCTGCCTCAGACGGCTTCTTGCGGTGCACGCGTCTTAAAGCGCCAAACAGCCTGGCAGCTGTAAATGCGTGAGGTTATCACTCCAAGTCTTATCTGGTCATTTGCATTATGTGTGTAGAAGGGGTGCGTTGTGTCGGAGGAACTGATTGCTGGTAGTGAGACATTAGTTTGGTTGTT